GCCCCGCACGAAGGAATTCCACGGATTTTCCCCAAATCCGTCCACCCCTGGCTGTTTTCCATCCCGGGATGAAGGAGCAGAGCAGATCCATGGAATTCCCAAGGCAGGAAAATCCCGGATGCACTCACCAGCACCGAGTAGATGTGGAGGCACCGATAGACCGGGGAGAAATCCACCAAATCCTGGGCTCCGGGCACCTGAAACAGGGAGAAAATCCATCAGAAACGTGGGAAACTCCCCAAAAATCCAGGGACGAGGAAGCAAAACCGCAAAAAAATTTAATTGTGGGGAAATGGGGCACTAAAATATCACAGAGACAAAAGAAATCCTATAAAAATCACATTTAAATGAGTTTGTCGCTCAAAAAAATCACATTTAGGTGAACTAAAATATTCAAAAAAATCAAATTTAATTAAGTTTGTCACTCCAAAAAATCACATTTAGGTGAATGAAAATATTTAAAAAATCAAATTTAAGTAAGTTGGTTGTTCCAAAAAATCACACTTAGGTGAACGAAAATATGAAAAAAATCAAATTTAAGTAAGCTTGTTGCTCCAAAAAATCAAATTTAGGTGAACTAAAATATGAAAAAAATCAAGTTTAAATAATATCACTAAAAAATCCCCTCTGGGTGAGTGAAATTCTAAAAATGCATTTAAAAGTAGAAGTGCAAAATATTTAAATATGGGTAAGTGGGGCACTAAAATATCACAGAGAGATGAGTGAAATCCAATAAAAATTACATTTAAATGAGTTTGTCGCTCTAAAAAATCACATTTAGGTGAATGAAAATATGAAAAAAATCAAATTTAAGTAAGTTTGTTGTTCCAAAAAATCACATTTAGGTGAACTAAAATATTCAAAAAATCAAGTTTAAATAATGTCACTAAAAAATTCCCCTCTAGGTGAGTGCAACTCAAAAAATTCATTTATAAGTAGAAGTGCAAAATACTTAAATATGGGGAAGTGGAGCACTAAAATATCACAGAGAGACAAGAGAAATCCTATAAAAATCACATTTAAATGAGTTTGTCGTTCTAAAAAAAAATCACATTTAAGTGAACAAAAATACTAAAAAAATCAAATTTAAGTAAGTGTCACTAAAAAATCCCATCTAGTGAGTGGAACTCCAAAATTTCATTTATAAGTAAGCAGAGCTGCAAAAAATCTAAATACGGGTAAGTGGAATTCTAAAATGGGCTGGGAGAGCTGGGAATGTTCCCCTGCTGAAGGGAAAATTCCAGGGAATGCTCAGAGTGCCTGGAGGGGCTCCAGGAGAGCTGGAGAGGGACTGGGGACAAGGGACAGAGGGACAGGAGCCAGGGAATGGCTCCCACTGGGAAAGGGGAGCTTGGGCTGGGATCTTGGCAAGGAATTCCTGGCTGGGAGGGTGGGGAGGGGCTGGGCTGGAATTCCCAGATTTTTGGAGGTGTCCCTGCTGTGGAATTGATGATTTTTAAGATCCCTTCCATCCCAAGCCATTCCGTGATTCCCTGGAATTCTCCCTCTGCCCGGATTAACACATCCCACAGCGGCCCTGTCTCACATTCACAAATTCAGGTGTTCATCTCCCATTTCGGTACTCAGAGAAACCTAAAAATTCACTGAATTTAGCACCGAACTCAGCCTGCGTTGCCTGAGCCAGAGCTGCCCTGCCCCACAACCCCCAAATCCCTGATTTTTGGGATGTGCCGATGCCCCGGGAGCTCGGGCTGCCCCAGGCCAGGACGGATGGCTCCCCTGGCACCCCCTCGGCCCAACCCCGGCCTTTTTGCCTCTTGATTTCCAGAACAAAGCGTTCATCCGTCTCGTCCCAAAACTTCCCACCCCACGCAACGCCCGCCTCCCAAGCTCATTCCCAAATCCTGCGGCACGTTCCCGGGGCTGGGAGCGGGCCGGGGCTCGGGAATCGCCCAGAGCCCTCCTGCAAGTGGGGCTCAACAACCCCGCAGCACATGTAACCCCGGGAAGGGGAATTTTCCAGGGAAACCTGCAGCCCTGGCTGCCACCAGCACAGGGAGGGCGCAGAGTTCAGGGAAGCTTTGCTCTGGGCTGGGGTCATTTGGGATACGAGGGTTAATTTGGGATAGGAGGGTTAATTTGGGATAGGAGGGTTAATTCGGGATGTGAGGGTTAATTTGGGATACGAGGGTTAATTTGGGATACGAGGGTTAATTCGGGATGTGAGGGTTAATTTGGGATAGGAGGGTTAATTTGGGATACGAGGGTTAATTTGGGATACGAGGGTTAATTTGGGATAGGAGGGTTAATTCGGGATGTGAGGGTTAATTTGGGATGTGAGACTTAATTTGGGATGTGAGGGTTAATTTGGGATACTAGGGTTAATTTGGGATGCAAGAGTTAATTTGGGATGTGAGACTTAATTTGGGATGCGAGGGTTAATTTAGGATAGGGGGGTTAATCTGGGATACGAGGGTTAATTTGGGATGTGAGGGTTAATTTTGGATTTGAGGGTTAAATAGAGATATGAGGGTTAATTTGGGATTTGAGGGTTAATTTGGGATTTAAGGGTTAATTTGGGATAGGAGGTTTAATTTGGGATGCGAGGATTAACTTAGGATAGGAGGGTTAATTTAGGATTTGAGGGTTAATTTGGGATACTAGGGCTAATTTGGGATATGAGGGTTAATTTGGGATTTGAGGGTTAATTTGGGATACGAGGGTTAATTTGGGATTTGAGTGTTAATTTTGGATTTGAGGGTTAATTTGGCATTTGAGGGTTAATTTGGGATGTGAGACTTAATTTGGGATGCGAGGTTTAATTTAGGATAGGAGGGTTAATTTGGGATAGGAGGGTTAATTTGGGATACTAGGGCTAATTTGGGATGTGATAATTAATTTGGGATGTGAGGGTTTGGATCTCAGATCCTGGGTGGGATTTGGTGGAAAAGCAGGACACGCGCACAGGTTCTGTCCCTCAGTGAGGCTGAGAACCAGACTGGAGCACCGGGAATTCCAGAGGAGCCAAATCCGGGGATTTGGGAGCCATCCCGGAGTGCCACTGATGGGAATCCATGGGTGGGCTGGGACAGAGGGACAGAGGGACAGAGGGACAGAGGGACAGAGGGACAGAGGGACACGGGACACAGAACTCCAGGGCAGGGCAGGGAGCAGGGGGGGACTGCAGGTGCCACCAACAGGAATTGTCCCCAAAACCCCACGGCTGCCACAGCGACGGNGGGGACAAGGGACAGAGGGACAGGAGCCAGGGAATGGCTCCCACTGGGAAAGGGGAGCTTGGGCTGGGATCTTGGCAAGGAATTCCTGGCTGGGAGGGTGGGGAGGGGCTGGGCTGGAATTCCCAGATTTTTGGAGGTGTCCCTGCTGTGGAATTGATGATTTTTAAGATCCCTTCCATCCCAAGCCATTCCGTGATTCCCTGGAATTCTCCCTCTGCCCGGATTAACACATCCCACAGCGGCCCTGTCTCACATTCACAAATTCAGGTGTTCATCTCCCATTTCGGTACTCAGAGAAACCTAAAAATTCACTGAATTTAGCACCGAACTCAGCCTGCGTTGCCTGAGCCAGAGCTGCCCTGCCCCACAACCCCCAAATCCCTGATTTTTGGGATGTGCCGATGCCCCGGGAGCTCGGGCTGCCCCAGGCCAGGACGGATGGCTCCCCTGGCACCCCCTCGGCCCAACCCCGGCCTTTTTGCCTCTTGGTTTCCAGAACAAGGCGTTCATCCGTCTCGTCCCAAAACTTCCCACCCCACGCAACGCCCGCCTCCCAAGCTCATTCCCAAATCCTGCGGCACGTTCCCGGGGCTGGGAGCGGGCTGGGGCTCGGGAATCGCCCAGAGCCCTCCTGCAAGTGGGGCTCAACAACAGCACATGTAACCCCTGGAAGGGGAATTTTCCAGGGAAACCTGCAGCCTTGGCTGCCACCAGCACAGGGAGGGCGCAGAGTTCAGGGAAGCTCTGCTCTGGGCTGGGGTCATTTGGGATACGAGGGTTCATTTGGGATAGGAGGGTTAATTTGGGATAGGAGGGTTAATTCGGGATGTGAGGGTTAATTTGGGATAGGAGTGTTAATTTGGGATAGGAGGGTTAATTTGGGATACGAGGGTTAATTCGGGATGTGAGGGTTAATTTGGGATAGGAGGGTTAATTCGGGATGTGAGAGTTAATTTGGGATAGGAGGGTTAATTTGGGCTAGGAGGGTTAATTCGGGATGTGAGGGTTAATTTGGGATGTGAGAGTTAATTTGGGATAGGAGGGTTAATTTGGGATAGGAGGGTTAATTCGGGATGTGAGGGTTAATTCGGGATGTGAGACTTAATTTGGGATGTGAGGGTTAATTTGGGATACTAGGGTTAATTTGGGATGCAAGAGTTAATTTGGGATGTGAGACTTAATTTGGGATGCGAGGGTTAATTTAGGATAGGGGGGTTAATCTGGGATACGAGGGTTAATTTGGGATGTGAGGGTTAATTTTGGATTTGAGGGTTAAATAGAGATATGAGGGTTAATTTGGGATTTGAGGGTTAATTTGGGATTTAAGGGTTAATTTGGGATAGGAGGTTTAATTTGGGATGCGAGGATTAACTTAGGATAGGAGGGTTAATTTAGGATTTGAGGGTTAATTTGGGATACTAGGGCTAATTTGGGATATGAGGGTTAATTTGGGATTTGAGGGTTAATTTGGGATACGAGGGTTAATTTGGGATTTGAGTGTTAATTTTGGATTTGAGGGTTAATTTGGGATTTGAGGGTTAATTTGGGATGTGAGACTTAATTTGGGATGCGAGGTTTAATTTAGGATAGGAGGGTTAATTTGGGATAGGAGGGTTAATTTGGGGTACTAGGGCTAATTTGGGATGTGATCATTAATTTGGGATGTGAGGGTTTGGATCTCGGATCCTGGGTGGGATTTGGTGGAAAAGCAGGACACGCGCACAGGTTCTGTCCCTCAGTGAGGGTGAGAACCAGACTGGAGCACCGGGAATTCCGGAGGAGCCAAATCCGGGGATTTGGGAGCCATCCCGGAGTGCCACTGATGGGAATCCATGGGTGGGCTGGGACAGAGGGACAGAGGGACAGAGGGACAGAGGGACAGAGGGACAGAGGGACAGAGGGACACGGGACACAGAACTCCAGGGCAGGGCAGGGAGCAGGGGGGGACTGCAGGTGCCACCAACAGGAATTGTCCCCAAAACCCCACGGCTGCCACAGCGACGGCTCCGCTCCAGCCCAGCTTCGGAGTCACCAGGAAAAGGATCTGGAGCTGCTGGAGAGAACCCCGGGGACATCCGGGAGCTGGAGCCAGGCTGGGAGAGCTGGGAATGTTCCCCTGGAGAAGGGAAAACTCCAGGCAGAGCTCAGAGTCTCCCTGAGCCTCCTTTGCTCCAGGCTGAG